AAAAAACGAACTCTGTAATCTTAATGGGTGACTTCAATCACATAGTAGATCTACAGTTAGACCAGGCAAAAACATCAACAATTCTGTTGATTTTGATGCTATTTTCTTTCACTCTCGCTCGACAAAATGGTAATTCTTTGCAATGCAAGATCAGCTTCTGTAACACAGTCAGCAAAATTTATTCGTTTCGCAAAAAGGCGAGCCTTTTCATAATATTCGCTAGCTTTTGTAAGATTACCAGACAACTAAAAATTGTGAATAAAATTAGTATAAGGTGCATGAAAATAATCAAATGGCAAAACTTAACATACTTCTGAAATCATTCCTAAGTTAAACAACAATACACCGCAACTTTCATCACATTCCCTCATAACTTTTTTTTTTGGACGAAAATTTTCTACGAGCTTTAGGCCACGTTCAGCCCATCCTTGTGCTTCTTCTAGGTTGCCCATTCCGGTGAATACTTCCGCTATGTTGTTCATGAGAACAGCCGAATGACAAGAAGATTCAGGTGGATTGATCAAAGATAAAGCACGAAGATAAAGTGGGAGAGCATAACTATAAAAAAAACATCAGCGTAACATATTTATCCAATTAGTACAAAGATCCTACATAGAAAATTTGTTTATAACACTAATCTCTACAGATCTTCAACAAAAGATCGTTAGAAATCTTTTCTTCAACGTAACCTTCATAAATGTCACTTACGCATATTTATGTTGTGAAGAATAAAAAGACGCCAGGGCTTCAAGTGAAGCACCTAAATCTGTTAATGTCATCCATGATGGAAGAGCGTTTATTTCATGCCTCTTTGAAAAAAATCCACTTTGGTTATCATTTCTAAGTTGATTTAATTGAGTATTTTCAGCTTGTGACTGCAGTAATTGCTCTACTGACCAAACATAATATTTCTCAGCTTGTTCATTTTGCTTCAGACTATGATGTAAATCACCAAGTTTTTGTGCTAAAGCAATCAACCTGATTTTATTTTCACCTTCCAATTTTATCGGAACATTATTAGGAGTAGAAATTGCATCATATGCCATTGTGAAAACATCAATAGCATCACGCGTCCTACCAAGCTCTTCATAAAGGCTACCTAGTTGAATCATTATACCAGTGACTTCAGGAGAAGCATTATCTAATTGTTTGTGATTAAATGCTTGAGTTAAAGCAGTTTGATAAAAATTAACAGCGCGGTTTGGATCATTTCGATAATTTTGATAAAAGAGGCCTTTTCGAAGATTTTTACGAATTTCTTCGGGATATTTGTTAACGGAAGAAGTGAAATACTGATAGAGATAGAAACTCAAAAGTGCTGATGCCGCAAGTACAAGCACTAGAGGGATAGTAGTTATTGATTTATTTCTAGGTGATTCTTGAATAATTGTTAGTACGTCAGTATGTTCGGGTTGATTTTTGTTATCCGAATCGAGAATTGGATTAGAAGTTTTTTCAGAATTATTTGATTGAACTACGTTATCAGGAGGAATTGACGTTTTATTTTCAGGTGTTAGCGATCGATTTGTCTTTTCAGTATAATATTTCTTTGTTCTAGCTCTTATTACAAACTGATGCTTAGAAGCAAAAGAATGAAAGGTGGAAGTCTTACAGGTCCGCCTAAAAGCAATAGATAAATGCGCAAAACTAAAGGGATTACTCAGAGGATAATGATGCCTTGGCAATGTCCTTGAAAAAAATACAGTTGCCATTTTTCGAGAACCACTAGTTATTAGTTCTTTTCAAGGTACTCATAGCTGATAGGCAGAAATTTGTCTGATTGGTCAAATCGTGTGCAATAACACGTGATTGTTAACCAATCAAATTAAGATTTTTAATAAGTTAGGAGATCAAACCCGAAATTCTGGTCTTCCTTTCAAGATTCTAACCGTTTTTTTTTTCACAGAATGTCTTGCAAAAGCAGATCAAAGTGGCAAAACTTTCATTTTTGATACACCTAAAATTTTATTACGTTTTTGAGATATGACGATTTAAAAAGTCTCGTGACCTCCGCACTTAAAATCGCTCAATGTAAGATAATAACGAAATTTATAACAAAGCTTGAAGTTTTTTTAATTGCATCTAATTTGAACTTCTAGTTAAAGTTGTAGAGAAAGAAATTCTAATAGTAGTAAGATTATCAAAATTGGCTTAGTGTATTACAAGATATGAGTAAAAAAAGTCGCGATTCTTCAAAGTTTCTTTGAATCCTTTAAATAATCGTAAAATTTTTTACTCAATTCTTGCGATTTACTGAACCAATCTTGGTGATATTACCACTTTTGGGATCGTAGTTTTCTTCTCTACAATCTTTGTTAAACATTTAATTAAGGTTAGCATAATAGAAAATCGAGTTTCGATTAAGCTTTTTTTGAAAAATTCTTTAGAAACTTACTTGTAATCCTATTGGTCTATTTAAGCGCGGCGGTAACGTGACTTTTTTAAAATCGTCATATCTCAAAAACGTAATAAAATTTTGGGGTACATTTAGGTGTATCAAAAAAGTAGGTTCAGGGGTATCAAAAATGAAAGTTTTGCATCAAAATGTTGTAGTTTACCTATAAAAAATTTTACTCTCTTATGATTTTTATTTAATTGGGATATTAAGATTAGGGGTTAGGGTTATTTTAGATTAGGTTCAAGTTATATTAGGGAGTAAATTCATTGATTAATGTTTTTGTAGGAAATCTACAGGCATTATATAGATCAACCAATAAAATCATGAAATTTGTTTATATTGTTATAGAATGTGTTAATATTATAGAACATATTAGAGATTTTATCTCCATTAGATTCAAAAAATTATAATGATCGAAATAAGCTATAATACAAAACAAACAAACTATTGGTTAGCTAGATAATCAAACAATAGATTTACTATAATACTCTTTATACCTTTTATACTTTTATGCCTTTTGTATCTTTTATACCTTTTGTATCTTTTATACTTTTTGTATTTTTTTTTTTTTTTCTTTGATAACCGCATACTAAAATTTTATTAAATATTTACTACTTAATACAAAACTAAGCTATTTAATAATCTAATTAGACTAAAACCTGGCTGTCTTTTAAGATGCCCAAGTTTGGTTACCGCACTGATGTTGGCCACCATATCCCACATATAGTGCGATGTATTTAAAGATATAATCTAGCCTGGGCTCAGCTCCCATCAAATATTTACAATCTTTTAGTTCACCAACTTGGTGGGTTAGAACTTAAAATTCTTTGTCTTACCACTATCTCCGACAAATATTTTACCTCCGACTCTATCAACTGATCCATCCCTACAACTTTTACTCGCTTATTTGCTCTAAATTGGTCCTCACCACCTAGATATAACATTCTCCTTTTCGCGAGATCTTTTTCTTTCTTCATTTTTTCTTTGGTCGTTTTTCTTCGGCTCCAATATTATTTTCTTTCTCCTATGTGACAAATTTTTTATATCTATCACTTCATACCAATCTATGAAAGCACTCTTGCATGCCAAAACTAGCTGCTTTTAGGGTTTCTAGTACTATGGCTTCATTTTCTAGAATATTACTTAACCAAGAAAGTGTGCTGCATCTAAAAAGACCTTTCGATAGGAGACTCCGCGCCTTGACTCTCTCGACTAAAGTTGAACCAAGAACAGCTCTCCACAAGTCTTGTACTGTTAAAGCTACTCTATAAACCTCGTCTATCGATGCCCAAGCTAGACTAATACTGAACTTTTTTATTTTCCACATGTCTTGGCAAGTGCCTGACACTGCATCAGGTAATCTGCATTTTCCTCTTTATCATCTTCACAAAGGACACAGATGGGATCCAGATAAACTGGAGGTTTTCTCTTGTATAGAACACTTTTCGTTGAGAGTGTTTATGACAAATTTTTAACATATCCAACTAATCTAAGACTCTTTTCAGTTGAGTCGCATTTCATGCCTCTGAGCTCTTTGAATCTTCCCCAACAGTTACCCCAAATCAAGTTTTCTGCTTTTTCATTCTCATTATATAGGTGAGTTTTCTTTTGTATATATTAGGTGCTTTCAATTTTTATACTGATCATTTGAAGTATAAAAGATCTTATCAGAGAGTCTACTTGTTCACCCTGCCATCTTACACCAAATGCCCATCTAGACCCAAACAAATCACAAATTGACCAATATTTATCTAACGCAGCACCTTCTTTCACTAGCTTGTCCGCAACCTCATTCCACTTAATACCACTATGTGCTTTAACCTTCTTCAAGTTTATTCTAAGCTCTTTAAACTGAATTGTCTCTACTATCTTATCCACAATTAAGTAATTTTTTAATTTACTTCTAATGCTTTCTGGATACTATATATTGCAACCATGCTATCTGTATTAATCTTGACTATACTTTCGGAACATGTAGTTAATAGTGTACACCAGATCGCCATCAGTTCTGGTCTTGATGACGAAGGCTATTTTTTTACCCTTACACTACCTCTGGTTACTTCTGTTTCAGGTTGTTCTGCATGCGTTTGTATTCATCCCGCTCCCATTAGATCGATATTCACCAATTTGTTATTTGATCATACCCAAGATCTGTCCATAAAGAATACTGGGTTTTTGTTTCTTTCTTGTAAGTTGTGATTTATATTCTCAATTAACAACTTTTCGACTCTTGGCTTAAAGTGCTAGTTTTTAATAAAAGTGATGTCTACATGTTCAACTGGCTGCAACTCTACAAACTTTTCTTCTTCACCTTGTACAAAAATTGTGGGTGCAAAAAACCAAGATACAGAAATCAGCATGGACCATTTATTCTCTTTTTTAACTATACTCTTTACTTGGCGAAGGCTTTGTATACTAGACTTCTTGCCTATACATTGGTTTGTTTTGTTTGCTATATTTATTCTACATCCAGTATATCGTTGTAGTGGCCTGGTGTTATGATTAGGCTCTGTTAGCCAATGTTCAAAGTATATGTTATCATCTTTAGCATCTACAACATGACCAACTATTGGAACTATTGAACTTTGGTCTCTTAATACTATCCAGGGCTTGTATCTTTTGTCTATTTTTGATTTTTCACCCTGTACTAGGAGATATATTGGGTTTCCATGGCAAAGCTTGTATTTGTTTTTTAGTGTTCTTTCTTCTGCTGAAACCAGAACCTTCTTTTCTACTTCACTAAACTAGCAAGCTTTCTTTCCTGCTATACATTTACCCTTTATAGCTTTAAGTTGCTGCCAAGTTAGAAGTATATTGCCTTCATAATCAATTAATTGCCCTAAATAGAAAACCTCTAATTTGATGCGGGATTTCTCACTCCTTTCAAATACTTTAGATGCTATTAGATCACTTATCATAGGGCCTGTTCTCTTTATTGCCACCCTTGTTCATCTGTATCAAGAAATAGATCAAATTGTTTGCATCTTTCGATTATATTACAGACAATATTGCTTCTCCATCTAGTTTTGCTTATCTCGGCTACCGAACACTTCCAGAAATCTTGGCTTATTCCTTTACGGAAGATACCTTGTCTAACTCTAAGCCTTATAATTCTACCTATTGCTTCTATATTATTTAGGCTCTTTAGTAACACAACTGCTTGCTTTGCTATGAGTGTACTAGTGAGTGACTGAAACCCGAGCATACTGTTATACAAAATAATATTGTTCAAACACATTTTAGCTATACCCAACTTTCTTTTAAACAAACATAGCATCGGTTGATGGATCACTGCTACTTCTCTTTCTGCTAATGGAACAACCTGCAAGATATACTTTAATTTAGATAACAATACTTGATTATTTATGTAAACTAGTTGGCTTGCTATAACCTTCTTTTTCCCTATTAGGTGTGAGAAAAGGCCTACTATTTTTTTGGCTCTATTTTTAATATTAGCTACTTCTGTTGAGGTGTGAAGCGTAACACCTAAATACTTCACATCGCAAAGTTTTCTTTCTGCCATAATTTTGGTACCACAAATCTTTCCTGTTTAACCAACACTGAGTTAACTACTACTAACTTAGATTTGCTTCCATTTATCTTAATATCATTTAACCTAAAAAATTGTTCAGCCAAAGCTACTATATGTTCTAGTTGTTGCTTCAAATTTGCTATCCAGGCTGTGTTATTGGCATAGACAAGTGCTGCTTGTCTGATTTCTTCTGTATAATTTAACTCTATCAATAATTTCATTTCATCATATGGTTTAAGAGTGTATCCTAGATCTTTGTCTTTCTGTATCTTGTTAAGCAATGGATCATAAAAAATTCTCCAAACCAAGGGAGAGATAATCTCCCCTTGGTCTATGCCGTTTTTAGCAGTAATCTCCTCAGTGAAGTCATAATTTGTGATTATTCTAAGCCTTCTGCTTCTAAAAAGATTTAGAATAAACCTACATATAATCTCCAGAATTTTAATTCTCTCAAGAGCTTTTTGCAATATTTCTAGGTTTACTGAATTGTATGCCTTTTTCATGTCCTGAAAAAGGACCCATAACTCCTTATTCCACTCTTTAGCCTCTTCAATGAATGCATTTAGGATTTGGATTGGTTCTTCAGTTGAGTTGCCAGGTAAACCTGTGAAATTTAAACCTTGTAATATTACCCTTTCACTTATGATCCTACTAAGACACCTTGTTAACACCTTGGTTGTGTATTTGCGAAAGGTTTCAAGCAGAGCTATTGGGCATATCTTGTTTAGATCATACTCCCAGTCCATTCCCTTTGGTATCGAGTACACCTGTGCTACTTTCCA